AACTACGATGTAGAAATGCTCTGCTGCAGGAACCAACGTGCAAATGCTATACGATGTGGAAAATCCATTTAATTTGAAACCTAGACCTGCTGCAGATAGCACCCTTTCTTCACATAACACACGCCATATCATTATACGGTTAACACCTTGGTCACAGGCTATTGCTCGCATGCTTCGTTCAGCTAGTCGTCCACTGCCTCAAGGATTTTCTCTATTTGATTTATCATTCTTGCACACCTTGGTCAACCGTATCATGTCTTACGCCACAGAAGGAGTCCCGCCACCAACAGTTGCCTATGCGAGCGTTAAAATGCTCTCTGATCGGGCATCACCAAGTTTGGAAATCGTTCCTGATCAATTCTCCGGGTCATATACGTATAAGGTGCTACTGTATCTCTGGCGATGAATAGCAACTGATTGATGATTCGACAAGTTCGGACCATTATTTTGATTACACCCGGTATATAACCTGATAAAAACTATAATCTGATACCATAACTATGTAAAAGATATATTAGCATATTATAAACATTATCACAAGTCGCGGAAGTGGTTAGTAATTCTGAGTGTCGTTTCGAAGAGCCCAGTTCGAATTCTGGAGAAGGTTATGGATGTAAATTGTTTATCACTTCATAGGAGGCAACGGTGGTCCAACCATTAGGTACCTTCACAATAAAGTGACCACCGCTTCTGGCTTTTTTTTTTTTTTTTTAAATATTTATACTAATTAAAGAAAAGGAAATATTATTATGTTTAGTAATCAAAAAAAGGTAAAATAGTAGTGACCAATGCTATAAAAGGCTAGAGTCCGCAAATGAGTTAAAAAAAAAATCATACGTTATTACAAGTTCAAATAAAGGAGAATTAATTTTCTCTCAAAAGATTTAATAAAAATAAAAATTGCAAAAATCTTTAATCCCCATGCTACCGAATTATCTGCAACAGGTACTTAAAAATTTTCAAAAAAGTTTCATCAGAGGGCAACGCAAAACAAAAACAAGTAAACGAAAAAAATATATGCAGTTTTTCTAACAAACATTATAAGTCACTTGACTTTATAACAAGAAGTACGAAAAGTGAATATTATACATTTGTTGGGAAAATAATTCGTATTCTCGCTTTTTTTTTTTTTTTTTTAAATATTTATACTAATTAAAGAAAAGGAAATATTATTATGTTTAGTAATCAAAAAAAGGTAAAATTACATTTTTCTTTATTCATTTTAATTCTTATCGTAGTAAGTTTACCATTTTACCTTGGGGTTCGACCCTAAATACATAATCGTTACTATATATATATATTATATATAAACAAGCAAACGAAAGGTATTATATAAAGTCCTTAGTTAAAAAGTAAAATAAAAGAAAGGAGTATGTTGCAAAAACCTGTTCCAATAAATCCTCAACATTCTAATGTAGTATAAATACGTTTTCGGTAAATGATATTTACTTATTAATAACATTCCCTTCCCGTAAAAAATTACTCTAGTACAGATATGATTTTTACAATAAAAGAAAATTAGAATAGAAAAGATAAAAATTAGAAAAAGCCAATTAAATAAATGCATAAATACATACACATGCGTTACTAGAAATGATGTTACATTGCTAAATATAACTGCAACGAAACTGTTATGACGATAGGTTTTTGAAATTGATCAGTTTGGAAAAGAGATAACACTGAACATTTTCGACTGCAGTACTCTGTAGTACTAAATAGTCTGTGGTCAGTGTATGGAGGTTTCACTGTAAACGCTCCAGCCACACAAAATATCTAAATTAGCTGTGGGAAACATATGATTTCTAATGTTGATAGTCTGCACTTTTGCTTCAAAAAATAAACGGCAAAAGAAAACATCTTTTTAGATTGGAATTATAATGTATTCAATTTATTTACCCGTCATATAGCTGTGATTTAGTCTGTAAATTGGATCTTGTGAGTCGACCACATTTCGGAAATAATTGCACATATCCTCTTGGCAACAGAGACGAGTGGGGTAAGTCCGTTTCTCGAGTTCGGGATCAGAGTCCGGACATTCTAGTGGCGCCATCTCTTGCGAATTTTTGGAAATGAGTTCCAAACACGCATGCCGCGACCTCCAGAGGTCTCCACTGTAGTCAAAGAAATCTGAGACGCAGATACCAAGAGACGATTTGCACATATATCCAGACGTGACGCAAACTGGAAGATTACAGTAGCAGCGCACATCAGCTGAAATAAAGAATGAATATGTAAAGAATGCATGGAAAAAAAAAAAAAAAAAAAAAAAAAAAAAAAAAAAAAAAAAAAAAAAAAAAAAACATTCTTAAAAATGGAGAAAATAAATATATTGGACACTAGATCAGAAAAGTTTTGTCACTTATTTTGCTCTGTAAGAAACTCTTTAAATACTTTGCATAAGAGTTAGCACATTATTAATAGCAGCATTATGAATATATTAGAAGCGTTATTAATAAACTACACGGGTAATAATTCAATAACTGCGATTTGTTTTTCGGAAGAAATTTTAATTAGATATTCCCGCCAATAGCCGAGTAGATTAGGCCAAGTGTATTTAATTTCCAGGCGTAAGGTTAATACCAGCGAGTTTTCCTTCCACATTCGTCTACGAAGGTCTCATTTCTAACATCCAAGGTTATTATGCCACAAGATTTGCTCTTCCGTGACGTCACTGCTTTTCGTGCCTTTGTTTCTCTCGCTTCTGTACGTGAAACGAAGACACATAAGAACTCGAAAGTTGGAAAGAAGCTAATCTTGTTTGTCTACTGACCTTGCTAAAACCTATAGCTCTCGCATCTTTCACAACCAACACACTTATCGAATTCCTAGCGATCTACCACAGAGGAAATCTACTGCACAGTGGAAAACATTTTGAAAAAAATTTGCTCTGGAATCAAACTGTGTTCGACAAATAATCTTAGAAACTTGTAAGGAATGCATATATTCGTACGCATTCGAAAATTCATGCTTTACGAAATGAAATGAAAAATATCAATCTCTGTGGGTTCGGATAGATCTGGTTTACCACATAATGGAAAGCAAGAAATAAACTAATATTGCTGCTAACATTTAAAATTTTGCTAATGTCTGTTACTAAAGAAAGTCGTTCTTTATATCTTGAAAAAACTTTGAGTTAAGTTAGCTTTTCTGATTCTAGACTGGATCTTAAATGCTGTGATCTTATATTTTATAAATTATATTCTTGGAACTGTTAAGTTTTGCCAACTTTTGAGACCATATAATATTCTAACAAAAAATACTTCAACTAAAAGTATTACATGTAATAATAAAAGTTTATTGCTAAAACAATCAGTTAACTATGTATGGTTGTCTTAGTGACAGTACTAAGTAGTAAAGGCACAGCTTATCACTTAAATTCATAATTCGAAGGTGACAACTATGTTAGAAGACAGTATTGAGGAATCCAGTAAAAAATTTCAACAGCATTCAAAGCAACTGTAAATAGTACGTACTTTAAGCTTTCAGTTTCGAGAATAACTGTCTGTAAAAAATAAATAAAAAAATGAATAAATAAAATAAAATAAAAAATATTAATAAATAAGATCAATTATTATTCCAATGAAATTTACGGTTTAAAAATCCTTGAAATTTGGAGCAGGTATGAAATTACTTAGCCATATTTGACATTTTGTCAAATTATTTCAACCCTGGATGTGCATGAGCACGTTGTCAACAGTTTGTTAATGATGTTTCCATCCAAGTCTGCATCATTTTTTTGTATAAAACTTGCAATTTAAAATCAATAATGTTGACTTTTAAGATATAAATATTACTAATTATAAATATATATCTTAATAAATGACTGAATTCAATTGTATTCTATCTGTCTTAAATTAAGTTGTATGGACCAAAAAAATTCTCATCAAATGTTGAAAAAACTCAATTGGTTGATCTTTACATTATGGTAACTTGGCGTTTTTTTGGCGAAAATTTGGCGACCAACTCTCCTACAGCAACCCTCTATTTTTTTTCCCGCCGCCATTTTGTCTTCACGAAGTAAAGACATGTTTCTTTTCTTTTTATCTACTGAACACTTCTTCCAACAATCTACTACTAGCCGAATTACACTTATGCTAGAAATTTTATCTAACAAAACTGCTTAATCATGACAAATATTCACTGCAAAATTGGGAAAAAGTGCACAATACCATACTCCTTACGCGTTTTTCAAAATAACACATACACATAAACCATGTACACGTCGACTTATTTTTACTTAAAAAAACATCCCAGAATTGCACAAAAATGGCATTGCGCACACTCTTCACTATATCCATGTACACTGCTTTTTTCTCATAAATTAGAAAAATTTCACGAAAATACATGACAATTTTCTGAATCTTTAAACCCGGTAAAAAGGTAAAAAGAACATATATGAAATTACCTGATCGCGAAAAAGTATTTACCCTTTACAAATATGAACATTTCCACATATAAAATAAATAAAATATCCAAAAACTTTTACCTCTAAATCATCTATTATATTATAAACGTCACCAACGAATTCATACCGCAAGCATTACAAATACTTAGTGTCAAATATTTAAATTATTTCCATGCACGTTTACTTCAACTAAAACGTATACCAAATTCCTACAAACATAAAATTCACAAAATAACTATCATTTAATTAAAATATAATTAAATTCAAAAACACTACTTAAAATATAAATAAGCACATACAAAATTACAATCCTAATTACTTTAAACTAAATCATTGCTAATAACAATTTTCCCAATAATACCAAATTACTTTACTTCCACCTTACATTTAGAACAATGCATAAAAATAATATCCTCAAATAATTAAAAATACTAACTTACCTAATCTTCTTCAGAATCTTGATTACGTGTCCGATAAACTTTTCTTATTCTGTTTCAGGATCTTTAAAATCATACTTATAGTTCACAGCAAGGTACCAGGTAAAATAAATAACTTAATAAAACATCTTTACTTCTATCTCGCACAACCTTAAAGAAACACTTATTACTACCCCTTTCAATCCCACTAAATACCCATTTCGAATTCACTTTAGTTAGGGCCATGGGATCCAAAAATTAACGAACACTGTTTCACACAACACAGAATAAAGCCAAATACAAAATTTCCAGATTTTTTCCCGATTTCCCCCCCCTTTTCCGATTAAAGAACCGTAATTCGTCCATTAATATCACATGACATATCCCATGATCTCTCATTTCCCTCACACAAAATAATGCGTAATCGGAACTGAGTACTGCTCACATTATTACCAAAGTCCCAGGTAGTAACCTTTATCGCCTCCAAAATGTCGCCAAACTACCAGTTACCATATTCTAAAGATCAGCCATGAAATTTAGACAGAATTAAATACTGCAATCTCTATTGAATATGATATATGAAAGAACTGAAAAATCTTTCCCCTTGTAGAAGATGGATTTGTCCTAATTCCGCTAGCTATTTCAAAAAAATATTAAAACGAATTTTTAGTACATGAAAACTTGCTACGTATGATAAATTACAAGAGTTGTGTAATATAATGGGACACTTAAAATGTCAGGAAAAATCACACTCCGCGCATTTTCATCACTCTCATAACAGTAGATGAGATAGAAATAAAATAACACTATGCTTTAGATTGTCACCGATGTCAGATATTTAAAATACGAAATATATATTGCTTAAATGTCAGTAATAAATCCAGTGTTTAAATATCAATATAATCATTAAATTTACAGTATTGTATACATTACAGTGAGAATACTTAATACGTTAGAACCTATTTTACATACAGAAATTTGCAGTTGACATTTTTGAAAAGACTTTTTTTGCTTATAAATTGCCTGATTTCTTCTTATTATTAAAGTTATCGAATATTTGCATTACTATAGAAAATTTTCATCTGACATTTCAAAAAAGCTTTTAACACTAGACATTTCTTAACTATTAAAAATTTACTTTAATTTTATAATTTTTACTTTTTACAATTTACTTAATAACTTATCTTAGAAACTGAAGACTATCATTAGAAAAAATTGCATCAAAGTTTCTACGACCATGAGTAATTTTTAACGAATTTAAGTTCTTTCTCCTTCAGAGCACACATTGATACATTTTTGCTTTTAATTATGTAAATATAGTTTTGTTTATTTTTTATTATTACGTATTAATCGTATTTTATACATACGTTTACTTATGTAAACTATTATTTTAATTATTAATGTTTCGAAGTTTCTTGATACAAAATTAAGAAAATATAATAAAGCAAGCACTCTGAAATAGTTTAATTTTCTGTTCATAGATGGCAGCACCATCTAGGAAGGCAAAGCTGCCTGATTGCCACTCCTTGCCCATCGTCAGTCAGCCCGGCGTCCTCCGCATCAGCCGGCGCCTCATACCGTCCTCATCCGGAGAGCGTTGATGCTCTATTTATACACACGCTGGCATCTCGCCATCGGTTTTAACTGCGGATAATAATAACAGACGGCGACAGGACGGAGGGCACTTAAAAGAAGAAGCCGTGATGTCCAATCGCTCTATTGTTTGGAGAATTTTTGTTCGCGATTTTTTGCCCCCCTATGTGGTTGACGTGAGATGGAAAATGTTTTGGCGACTGCAAGGGTGCCACGAAGTCGCCAAGTTCCTGAGATGAGAGAATCAGTATGCTAAGAATTCTTTGCCGAGGCTTTACACTTCCCACGAATTTGATAAGAAGCATTGTTATGTTAGGATAATTGGAAGATTCAGAAGAGGAGATGAATTACTGTCCCCAGCACAAAGCCTTTTCTCCCCTCTTTACTCTACTACAAATCAGGCAGGCAGGCATCCATCTTCTGCTATTTTTCAAAATTCAGCTTTTGCTTCGTCGAATGACTCAGAGCTTGAATTATTTATGGTCAACACATGCAGGATTTCGTGAACATTAAATTTTTTAGGAATGTGGATGATTTAAAGAGTCCATCTACCATTTATTGAGTAAAAAAGTTCCTAAACAAAAAATAATTGATTGTTTTTTACATTTTCGTAGTTCCCTGAATAGTGTTATGGTTCCTCTGTCTGTAATGTGAGGGTTAGTTTGTTTTCTTTCTAGATGATTACGACAAAGCACATTAAGGTCATTATCTAAGGGAAAGCCTCCGTGGAGGAATTTCTAAGGGAAACTGTGTGTGAGTTGTCAATACCAATATCCGTATACACTTTAGAATGTGAG